TTCAGCGCTGCCGGCGTTGAGCTGATCGATCGCCAACTGGTCTGCCTCGGCTTGACGCCGGGTTTGTGCTGCAGCTTCCTCTGCTAGCCGTAGTCTTTCGGCCGCGGCAGCCTCTTGCTGTTCCTTGACCTGCGTGAGTGCGGCTGTATAGTCCTGCATTCTCTGAATGAAGTCCGGGAGGGGCTCATTCGACCCTCGCACCGGACAGACCGGTAAGGGTTCGGCATTACTACCTGTCGAACCCTCGGATGATGATCCGTTGTGTGGCGTGTTCGCCATCTGAGTACTGGTCTGTTGCGGTTGAGGAACTGGAGGTTGCTGTTGCTGTATGTGATCGGCGATCCTCTTGCTGCGTCGTGGCTGCTGTTCGGAGGCTGGCCCTGCTGGCATCAGAAACTGTTGCTGAAGACTGGCCCGTCCGAAGGATCGCAGAACAGTGTGAGGGAGAGGGTGGGTACAGGGATAGAACAGATCAAGCAATCAACATACAGTCCCTGTCCCACGGATGGACTAAGACACCTAATCAAACAGATAATAAATTTTCCGTAAACAATTCGAAAATTCGTAATAAGAAGAATTATTTAATCAATAATTTAATTAGTGATTAATACGATAAAGGTAATCAATAACCAATATTTGCAATAAAGATAATCAATAATTTAATTAATGATTAATACGATAAAGATAATCAATAATTTAATTAATGATTAATACAGGGATAATCAATAAAACAATGTTTGTAATAAAGATAATCAATAACCAATATTTGCAATAGATATAATCAATAAGCAATATTTGCAATAATGGTAACGAACGAATTTGAATTGTATCAAGATTAGGTCCCTTTGAGATCAAATACGGTCCGGGAATTCACCGTTAATGAGTGAACTACCCGGAAGTTGCAACTTTGAGGGTTAGCTTCGGATTAGTTTGCCCAAAAATTTTGGGAAAAAGTTAGGGAAAAACACTCGAATTTTCAAAAACGTGAATTTCTGGTAATTTCCACCGTCAAAATCCGATTTTTAAAAGCCTAAACCTGTTTTCGGAATTTCTCAAATAAGGGGAACGAAAAAAAAAAATTCGCGAAAATTTTGATCCCAACCCTAATTTTCCGCGTTTCGGCGGAATTTCTGGATTTACGGTTCCCAAAACGTTTGAATTTCCCAAGTTGAGCGAAAACCAAAATTTTGTAACCCTACTTTCCACTACTGCGATAAAACGGAAATGCCGATTTGTAAAACGAAATACCAGATTAGAAATCCGAATGCTGAAATAAAAACGGAATGCCGAAAGAAATCAGAATGCCGAAATCAACAGAAAACTGATTTAACCCTAATTACGAATTACTAACCAGACATCCGAATCAAACAGAATGTTGGATGAGTATCAATTTATCGGAACCTAATAAAACAGCATACCGGCGAAAACAGAAATCTGAATAATAAGTCCGAATACTGAATTGAAACGGAAGTGCCGAAATAAACAGAAAACCGAAAAAAGAAAAACAAAATTGAAACTTTGAGCTTGATAGTAATTCAGCGCTGATTTGGAAGATTGAAGAACAATCTAATTCCTAAATCAGTCTTACCTGGTGAGCAGATCCGTAATTGGTCTGCTCGGATACCAAAACTGTTACATACTTCAATGAGTATGGGCAGAACCAAAGATCAACCAATGTAGGATGAGCATATATGCAGCGGAAGTCTGATAAACGGACCGACTCACATAGACTGACTCGAGAATCACTCCACACACATACAATCATGAGATGGTGGGGTCTGGGCCAAGCATGGACGATGCCCAGATCCCGTACACACATACACAGATGAAAGGTGGGAGGAGAGACGAAGGAGGTGGGGGAGGTAGACAGCACCGGTAGGTCACCGAGATAGAATCCGATAGGTCACCGATATGGTAGTCCAAAATGTCATCCAACAAGATCAAAATGTCGAGGACAATCAGTCACCAATGTYRGAGATACAGGGTCCAAATGTAACCGGTGTYCGAACTGTGATGCCGCCAAGTATCAACCCCAACAATCTCCAAGTCTCCAATCTGGTAAGTACCACAGTCTCATACCACCGAAGTCCAACACTGATCTCTGTCCACTAGTATAAGTCTCCGATCTGAAGAAGAAGAAGAAGAAGAAGAAGAAGAAGAAGAAGAAGAAGAAGATGACGTCTGAAGAGAAGAAGAAGAAGAAGAAGAAGAAGAAGGAGCCGAGGAGGAGAGAGAGAGAGGGACTGGTGAGGGGAGGGAGGAGAGAGGCCTCCAACTCCCGATACCTCAGGTGGCGATGGCCGCCGGTACACTCAGTCGCCGCTGCTGCTGCGCTAATGTGGCGCTGCTGCTCCTCGCTGCTCCTGCGCTAAACTTAGCGCCAGCGCTGTATCGCGCTGTACCATACCGTACCGGTAGAATGCCGGTAGGCCGATAGCCTCACTGAGGCTGGACCGGTACTTTTGTACCTGTGGTACCGGTGGTACCGGTGGGCAGAGGTCGGCCTCTATGCTGCGAGGCCTGACCGTGCCCTGAACCGTCCAGATGGACGGTTCAGCCCCAACCGGCGGGTGGCAGCCTTAAGAGCGCCGCCAGGCCCAAACAGTAATATCGTTTGGGCCGGCCCGTCGGGTCTGGTCCAAGATAAGGCCTTTACGGCCTGTAGTACCCCCCAAGGTCGGGCCTTTGGCCCTACTGTGTCCCTCTACCCCTACGTCGGGTCCGGTAGGACCCGTGTGGCGTCGAAGATGTAACAGAGAGGGAGGCGGTCTCTAGGGGTGGTGGATGGCCAGCGAGAGCGAAATATATGGTGTAGAGAGAGACACAGGAGGCGAATTATGAAAAAGTGAATGAGGGGGACTAAGGAGAGGGGGGGGAGGAGGGGTGGCTGGCTGACTAAGGGGAGGGGAAGGAGGAGAGGGAGAGGTGCTTGAGAGGGTTGAAAGGGAGGGGTAGAGGAGGAGAGGGAAGGGGAATGTAGAGGTGGAGTAGGGATCGGTAGCATGGGTGGGCTGGCCAGTGCTTTTCGTTGGCAAACTGCCAGTACTCAGCCCCAGGCAACTTCAAAAGTTTCTTTGGCTCACTCCTAAGATTTTGGAGGCTCGGGGCTACCGGAGCACAGTGGCTGGTGGCACCAACCAAAAAACAAAGAAATTGTGCCGCTGGCGATTCAGCAAAGCAGTGCGAGTACGCTAGGCTTTGGTGTGCTGGTGGTTTAAAGGTTGGCCAGGAAGCAATTCAGAAGACTGCCTTCCGACCTTCTATCCACTTTTCCTTAGGTCATGTACTTTTTCTTCTGCATCAGTGAGGAATTCCTCCTCCTCAGTCTGATTTGAGCTCTTTCCACTTGGTGGTAATGACTGCTCTAATACGGTGTGGGTAAACCCGGGGAGGGGCGCCAGCTCGTCCGCTGAAGCCAAGGGCAACGGCGTCTGTCACCCGCCGCGCCCGCTTCTGAGATCCTCAGCGGCCGAACAGGGTAGGTGGGGTTGATATACCTGTCCGCCCCACTACAGAGTGAGGCTAAATGCTTTTCTCAGGGCGTCTTGTACCGGGGAAAATAATTACCAACTTAAAATATTTGCTGTAACCCGCAGAAGCAACGCACAAATGGAAAACAAAATAAAGATTGAGCCTCCAAGATTTTGTATCTGGCTGAAACTTCAAACGGTGATGAATGGCTAATTCGATAAACAGCAGTGGCAGCAGACCTGCACAGAGGGATCTTGTAAACTGATAAATTGAGAACTCCCACCTTCCCTGATGGAGCGCTTGATCTAATAAATGGTAATGCCCTCAATCCCTGATTGATAGATCTGGGCGAGTTTGCTCACTCCGTCTTTTAAGCAGGTAAACAGAGAAGTAACGAAGAGGACTGCAAGTTTAGTTAATGGGACGTGGGTCAATGCACGCAGGGTTCTCTTTTTAAGAGCACACGCGGTCTGATATCCGCGAATCAGGATATTGCCAGAACTTGTCTGCCCTCCCCTCAGTCAACGTTAGGACTTGGAGCACGGTTTTAGCAGCATAAAGGCAGGGTTACTCGATTTGGGATCATCTGTCACTGTCGAGCGGCTAAGTGCACTTGTCCCCTTTAAAATCAGTACGATTCAAAAATACCGAATGGATTTTCAGAGTTACATAAAATAAACTGCCCCCCTCGAGGATGAGATCAATGCCTTCTTTCCTCCAATGCACTTACCTTTCTCTCCTCCCACTCTCTCAGTCTCTCCGTGACTTCTGACTTACTTCTTGGGTGTCGTGCGGGTACCCGCTGTGTCTGTCATCTCAACACCAAATGTACCCGTGCGGGAATGTCGGCCCAATACATCCAACGAAAAACAATTAATATTTTATTACAGAACGCCCCCTTTCTCCCTCTTTTCGCATGTTCCTGTCCTCGTTCGAGTACCACACGTTCTTTGGGACCCTGATCAGGTAGACCTGATGCGTGAGTCAGAGGGCTGGAGTCGCCCAACAGGCCCGTTCGTCCCCTCGATACCCTTTCTTTCCCTGCTCACGCCTTGCCTCCCCTCGAGAAGGGGGAACACAATCCCTCTGCTCGTGTCCATTGCTTGACTACTTGTTCTTCGAGTACCGTGTTCACCGTCTTCGTTCCTGCCATCCGGGATAACTCCTCTTGGTTCCCGTTGTATCCTTCTCTTAGGTTGCGAGGATATCTCCCGCCTTGTCCGAAACCGGGAGTACCGAAAGGCTTCCCCTGGCGCGCCTCTCGCCTTTCTGAAATCTCCTG